GCATTACATTGGGGTCCCCTATTTTCGGAAACTCCCTGGTGGCTGGCCCCGACCATCGGTTGAAGGCTCTGGGTGTGTGGTAGGAAAGGAGATCCGGGTATAAGCTTTCTGTATGTGTATATATATACATATACATATACATATACATATACATATACATATACATATACATATACATATACATATACATATATATATATATATACATATATATATATATGTATTGTGTCTGTGTCTGAAGTATGTACATATGAACTATATGTGCATGTATCGTAAAAATGCATGCATACATACGTACATACATATATATATATATACATATGAGTATGTGTTGTTGAGGCGTAAACACTTATAGACTCTTGCCTCCTGCCATAATGGAAAAGCTGAGCTCATGGATGAGTGAGGATGAGGTTCCAGAGTCGGTTTTGCAGTACCACACTTTATTTGTTTTTGTACTTTTGTACCTCTCTCTTAAAGGAGCCATGTTGAAATAGTTCGTTTTTGTTTCATTTTTGCTTCTCTTAACGGAGCCAAATTGAAATGAAAGGTGTATACTTCTTCTCCCTGGTCACTTCAATTCCCAGTATATACAGGCTTGGTAGGGCCTGGCATTGTTCTTGACATCAGGTTTTGAAGAATCAAGGTTAGGTACTGCCCCCATACAGTAACAATTTATAATTGGGCTACTATTAAGGTCCTGACATATCTGTATTACGAATACTATTCCACTGTTACTGATGGGGGTTGTACTTAACATCAAGGACCTGAGGAACCTCTGTTCCAGCAGATACGTAGAAAATCGGCTTGACAGCGATAGCTGAGATAGTGACATGATCATCCTGCGTTGCGTGGCTGTCTTAGGACAACAGCTGCAAGGCCGAAAAACCTGCCTTTCCCTACAGTAGCTCGGGGTTTGGCCTCAGAGTTAAAAGTTCAGGTTTAGGTATATTGTCGTATACTGCACAGTGACCATGATTTTGCAGTAACCCTAAACCCTAAACCTTAAACCGTGGCTGAGCCCATATATTCCTGACGTATGGAACCAACCCTTTAGCTGCTCGATCCATTTTTCAAGTCCTCAAGACAGTCACAGTCACTTGGGTGGCTGTCAAAATTAGGGTCCCTTTTTGGGCCCTTAATATAGTACGGCACCTATAATATTTAGGGTACTCAAACAGGGACCATAATTTTGACAACCACCCACTTGAGCCAAACCAGCGTACCTGCAGCGCCGACTGCACCATAACCCCGGAGCCCTAAGCACCCTGAAACTGAGATTCCTAAGCATCCCTAACGCTTCTCAAAGCCTCAAGCCCAGAGGGCCCAACAATTACCCTTTAATTCAGGAATATAGCTTACTTGAAGGCTCATGGGACTTAGTAAGTAAGGTTATAAGTAGGTTATAATCAGGGATAACCCCACTTAGGGGACTTATAACCCCAACTATAACCTACTTTCTAAGTCCCATGATCCTCTAAGTACCCTAAACTCCCCCTTATAGAACCCCTATTAGGATCCCTTAAAGGAGCCCTTTAAAGGAACCCTAGGGTTTCTTACTAAGTCCCATGATCCTTTAGGTAAGTCATAGCACGTAGCGCCTTTACAGTTCGATGTAGATGCTCCTTAATTCAGGGGCATATGGGCCCTGTCAAAACCGTATAAAGCCCCGTAAAGGAGCCCTTAAAGGAGCCCTTAAAGGATCCCCAGGTTGAGACTACATTCCTTATCTAAGGGGTATTTACTCCTGAAACTCCCATCTAGGATGCCGAGTACTACCCTTATTTCCTTTTTGTAGTCCTAGGTTCCTTGTGAAGTTACCCAACACTAAATGGGGAGCCCTTTTATTGTTAGTTTTATTCCTAGGTTACTGGCCTTCCCAGCCCATGAATCGCCCAGGTGGTGCAGGGAGGCACGGCCACGGACCATGCCAAGGTCATTTCTCACAAGGACACTTGGATCTTCAAGCGGTTTTTGGCTTTGGTGTTTTTTAAGAACTTATGGTTTAATTGGTTTTTTAGAACTTATGGCTTACCTGTATTTTAGAATTTATGGTTTAACTTCGGGTACTGCCCCCACTCAGTAACAGTTGGATAATATTCATAATATGGGTATATTAGGGCCCTAGTAGTAGCCCTATTATGGACTGTTACTGTATGGGGGGCAGTAGCCAAGTTTAACTGTTTTTTAGAACTTAGGGTTTAACTCTGAATCCTAGACTCCTGCAGAGAAGTGGCTGTAGAATTAAGGATCTTACTGCTGATGGACAAAATCCTGCATTACCCGTTATAAGGAATAACCATAGTTCCCATAGTTTCGGGTGCTTAAGGTCATGCAGGATTTATATCATAACCCTAAACCCTAAACCCTATAGATCCCTTAAAGGAGCCCCTTAAAGGTACCTTTATAGATCCCTTTAAAGGAACCCTAGGATTCATATCATCAGCAGTATGAGGGCGGTCGGGTCGAAGGATCCGCGGCATGGTGCCCTTGACGGGGCATCCTACGGTTGATGATGTAAATCCTAGGGCTCCTTTAAAGGGATCTATAAGGGTACCTTTAAGGGGCTCCTTTAAGGGATCTATAGGGTCTAGGTTTTATAAGGGTTATGATTTAAATCCTGCATTACCTTAAGGATCCTAAACTATGGGAATAATGGTATATTCCTTATTGTGGGTAATGCAGGATGTATATCATCAACAATACCAGTGTATGGCTTACGATATAGCTGTGATTCATTAAGCCTTCTGTTGCCCTTGTTGTTTTGTTGTCCTCTTCTTGAACCGAATATAGTAGACCCCAAAAAGTTGGATACTGGGTTGAGGACAATTAGCGCTGGGTTCCCTATACATTACTCTTAATTGAGGCCATTGTGTTTCCAACTTTCGAGCTTATACTGACATACCTTTGTCATGAAGGGGCTATTGGGGAACCTAGCTCAAGTTGGCGTAGCTATCATTGGGATCCTTCAATAGGTCGAGGAGGTCGGTTCAGGCGGGCTCAAGTACAGGGGCCTTTGGTATACATGTGCTGGTGTGTATGCACGTTTTGAGGTCGGGGCTTAGTGTGTCGGCTTTTAGTTTGCGAACCTTTCTATTCGCGTTTAAGGTCTGCTAGGTTGCAGGTCTTGGGCACACCATCTCGAGTTTGAAGTGTGCACTACATGGTGTTCCTGAATAGGGGAACAATTAGAGGTTTAGGGTGTAGACCTTATATAAATGCTTCATTTACGCAACAGCCTGAAACGCATCTCCTGTTTGCGAACCCTTTGAAGCACTATCAAGCTGGAAACCCTTGCGCGACCCTATTAGAGAACAACACCTAGTGCACCCTCGCTTACAACATCCCAACGTGTACAAAGCTGACACCTGCTCTCCCCTAAACCCTAAACCCGAAGGAGGACGTGTTCCGGCGCATTCGGCTGCAGTTTGGCAGAAGCCAGGAGCAGTACAATGCATCTCGATCTCCTCGATAAAGATTGCGGGGGCAGTGGGGGCTTAATGTGGTCTCCTGATTATTAAACCCCCCCCCCCCTCCCCCCCCCCCCCCAAACAACACCAAAATCCATAATAGTACTGGCGTGTTTGCGCGCCGCGGTCGAAGTTGTTTGAGGGGGTCGAAGTTGTTTGGGGGCCGGGGCTCTCAGTAGTAGTACACTAGTACAGTATCACAATAGTATAATCGTATAGTACAGTAGTACAGTAGTACAGTAGTACAGTAGTATAGTAGTACAATAGTACAGTAGTACAGTAGTACAGCGGCACAGTAGTACAGTAGTACAGTAGTACAGTAGTACAGTAGCACAGTAGCACAGTAGCACAGTAGCACAGTACTGGGAAGAACCGGTGGCTTGTAAATGGTTAACATACTTTACGAGGTTAGCTATCTGTTTACAAACAAATGTAAAGGGTTAAGTTGGTTTAGCTATAGGGGTTAGCATAGCTTAGAAAAGGGGGTTAGTATAAGTAACATAAAGGGGTCCCTTATACGTCTAAACCTTCCAAGCCCTGAACATAAAAGCCTCAAACCCTAAACCCGAACCCTGCAAAACAGAAGTCTTTTTTTGCATGCCGGTCGTTCACGGTCTTCCGGCTAGAGAAACTCGTTTAAGGCCGTAGCCTGAGAACGGCTGCATTTCAGCAGATATATAATATACATGGGATGCCGTAGCCTTCTGCATCCCATTCTGCATGCCTGCAGCAAAAGGGGCCGTAGCCTGGAAGAAAGCTTGCTTTCAGCTTGCTGAGTTTTCAGACTCCTCTTCCTCATGCTCCTCTTCCTCAGCCACTTCCTGCTGGGAATTCCAGTTGTCTTCATACTCTGGAGAGGACTGCTCGGTCACGGTAGGGAGAGCATGCTCGTCCCCGGACTCCACGATATTCATATATTCGTACTCCCTCCATGCCCTTCTGTAGTTGCTGCGACGGACATCCCTCTCGTTGTACCACTTGATTGTGCATTTTGCACACCAGTGGTTCAGGTGTGCATTTTTCACTCTGCAGCAGCTGGGGGCACCGCATTCCGTGCATGGTCCTGCACACGGGTCCATCCTCAAACGGCGGCTGCAGGCTCCTCCCATTTCAAACTGCACGTGTGCAGGAGCTTATAAGGATGGCCTTGGCCGCGATGCACTCGCAGTCTGTTTTTAGAGTTCGCAGCACCTTTGGCCTTGGCCGGATATCACAGCAATCGCCCGAAGACAGGCGAACGGCAAGCTCTATAAAAAATATTATAGCATTTGAGCCACATGGCGGCAGCAGATTTCAGACATGATATAAGGCACATGACGACCCCCCATACATGCCCGATGACCCAGTGAAAACCCTTCGCATGCCTCTGTTTCCTTGCGATGCACTCGTGTGTCAGCAGCTACTTTGCTGCATGGTATATAATGATCTATCTGTGCAGCATGCTAACCGATTTTCGGTGCAGTGCTCATGTGTGCATACACACATAGAAGCAAAAAGTTGGTTGGCATCGCTTTCGAGCCCTGCACAGCTGGCTTAGCAGCCGTTCTTCTTCTTCCACAGCAGAATGGCCTCTCTGTGGGCCTCTCGCTGGCACTCTACCACTTGCTGCTCCGAGAAGCCTTGCTGCTTTGCCCACGTTCCGGCTCGCTTGTACATGCGAGAAGCATAGTTCTTCTGGATGCAGCCGTCCTCCCAGACAATTTGGAACTTCCGCTTTCCATGCGAGCCTTGGGCTTGCTGCTCCTTTGCTTTGCCTTGGCCTTTCTTCGAAGCACTCTTGTCCTTGGACTTTCCTTTGCCTTTGCCGCTGCCCTTCTTCTTTGGATCTTGGCCTTGGCCATTCGTTTTTGTCTTGTTCTTTGCCAAGTTTCCTTGGCCACTCGCTGCAGCTGCAGCGGCCGGCTTCTTCAGAATCCCAGCTTTGCGATCTTTGAGCTTCTTGAACAAAGCTTCGTCCTCGAGATCGTTCTCGGCAGGGAGCGACTCCGTTGCTTCGGGTTCTTCGGCTGGAGGCAGGGCTAGCTGCAAGGCCGACTGTCGCCCTGGCGAGGTCTGCTGTGTCGCAGCCGAAACCGGCTGGGCTGGGTTGCCCAGAGCAAAGCCGACCCCGGCACTGCTGCTGCTCAGCTCGCCTCCTGTGATGGAGTTCCGTCCAGGGGTCCTGCAGCAGGTATACAAATGGAAAGGCATGCATGGGCTGTGTATATACAGATGCAAAACAAAGGAAAAGATAAAAGAAGCATGCAGTCCTCCTTTGCAAGATACTTGCGCCTGCAGCAAGCTGCAGCTCCCTTCGCCCACCATCCTGGATGGCATTCTGACCGCAGCCCTGGTCCAGCATTCTTTCCAGTCGCCCGAAGCACTGCTCCATGCGGCTCTGGAACTCGTTCGCATGCTGCTCAGACACGGCGGCCTGGCCATCTGGCCTCGGCAGCCTCTGCTTCTTGTTCTTCTGCAAGAGCTTGGAAGTAGATCGCATCGGAATGTGAGCTAGCCAGATCCCAGCCCTCACGTCTTTGCCCATGGGCGGGTCCTCAGCCTTGTAGGCTCGGTCGAACAGAGCCTTCGGCAAGCTGCTGGGGTCATCGGGATACGTGAGCAGGCCGACCTCAGTCGGCTCTGCATCCGTTTTCACGGATTCCCAAGATCTCTTGAAGACCTGGACCTCTTCGTAGATCTCTTCATATGTCGGCATCTGACTGAGCTCGCCGGCTGCCAGTGCCAAGAGGAAGGCCAGGCCTTTCTTGACCGTCTGTTCTGTGAGGTTCCTCAGGCCCAGCTGCAGATACCTTTTCAGAAGGATTTCCAGCCTTGCCGGTGCTGGCGACTTTTCCAGCATAGACCACTCAGTGACCGTGATGAAGTTTTCCGGCTTCAGCAAGGTCTGCGGCTTGCTTTCCTCCTTTCGCTTGTGAGGCATATATGTAGTATCTGGCGGCGGTGTTGCAGCCGTGGCCGTTGCCAGAACTTTGGCTTCAACTTTTTCAAGCAACCGTTCTGACAGGGTGCTCTCGAAGCTCAGATCCTGGATCGTCTGCTTCATCTGCATGGCTTGCCCTAACGACAGAGAGCCAAGGCTCTCCAGCCGGGTGCACCAGCTGTTCATCAAAGCATCGACCGAAGCCTTGCTCCCACTTTGTGCCCACTCGGCCATAGGGCTTAACTCGGCCTGCAACTCTCGGGCCATCTCGCCGTGGCGAGATATATATAGCCGTGGCCAGAAAAGGAGAATCCAGAAGCCCCCTCTATAGGAGCCAAGATGCTACAACCCCACTACAGGAGCCAAAATGGCAGCTGCATGCACATCCATGGAAAAAGAGCATGGTACAGGTCGCCTGCATGTGTGTGTACGTGCAGATTCCCAAAATCCAGGATGCATGCAGGATCAATCTTTTTCATCGGAGGGAAGCAGGCAGGATGATTTGTCGTCGGCCTCCGGCCATGTCTCTCCATGTGCATGCACACAGAAAGTCTCTGCATGGCAGCAGATGCAGGCTGTCTATGCAGGAGCACTCCCCCACGAGGTCATCGCAAATGCAGAGAAGAAATGGAATGCACAACACTGTAGGCTTGCCCTGCCAGTTCCACGAATGCCCAGACAAGGGCACACTCCAAGCAACCGTTCCCTTCAAGCAGCACCGCATCGCCACGACATATCCGTTCCCCGGAGGGCAGCCTGACTTTTTCTGCCACATGAATCACTTGTGCCGAGGTCAGCTCCGGAATGATTCTGCGAAGTGCTGCCGCCTTCCTCCGAGAAGCTGGCTTCGGGTCCTGCAACTGCAGCATCGCTGCGAAACAATCAGCTCTTGCCAAGCAATATAGTTCTTGTCCAAGAACTTCTCGGAGAAGACCCTGCTCGTAAGCAGAAGTCTTCTTGATGTCCTCGGCGAATCTCTTGATAGTGCGATGCTTTCTTTCGTGAGTGTAGCACTGAACCATGAAGCCCCACTTTTCCAGGTGCGAACCGAAGTGGAGAAGCCAATGGAACTTGGAATGCATGCGGTCCTGCCACTCAGCAGCATGCACTGCTTGCAAGAAATCGGAAACGTGCTTTCTCATCTGGCCGGGCGAAACCGCTCCCTCACTGCGAGCTCTCTGGCAGCATGCCACGAGTTTGTCCAGCTGCAAGAAACATTGGATCGCTTGCACTGCCTCAACATTTGCATTTGCCCTGGCGAGCTGCCTGAAGAAACAAGCCAATATTGGAGACAGTGTCAAGCCTTCGGAGGCCGTGCATTTAAAGGTCTCGGCTTCCTTGCATGCTTTTGCTCGGGACTGACCCAGCATCCCTTCGGCCTTGGCCGAGATGTTCCGGGGCAGGGTCCACTTGGCCACGTACTCGTCGGCGATTTCCCAGAGATTGGGAAACTGCTTCTGCAAAGCTTCCAAAACAAGCCAGGTCACTGTCTGGAAGACACCGGAGACCAGCAGGGTGTGCATGCTGTCGTGGCAATACTGTGAGACCGGCCGGACCAGCCATCGTTGATCCTCTTGTTGCAGCAGGGAACAACTATTATAAGTCCAGCCGGTGGCTTGCTGCCACGTGCTGAAATCTGCAGCATTCAGAAGCATCTTCTTCTCTGCCAGTTTAGCCATGGCCTCGTGGATGGATTGGTCGGTCGCAAGCGAAAGCTTACTTTCTCGGATCTCAGAGGAACCGACCACGGGGAGCCCGCTGCTGTGCAGGATATCACATCGTTGTGCTATTACATTCCTGCACAGCATGCACATGCGGGTGCCAGCATCCCCCTTGCAGCTCCATAGAGCTTTATGGGCACCACCGTCTTGAACGATCATTGACAAAACCACCCGGAAGAGGACGGGCGGACCTCCTGGTCGCTGCAACGATATGCACCCGTGCTCCAAATGGTTGGCCGGCCGCATGAATATGTCTCGCAGGATTTTCGAGATCCATTGAGAGACACCTGCTTCGGCCTTGGCCATCAGGCTGGATCGGAGCAGTCCTATGCATAGCCACGACTCCTCGTGCTGCAATGCATAGCTTCCAAGTTCTACGAACGAGGCATAGCAAGCCCAGATTTTTCTCTTCGTCTGGACTGCCAAAGGATTACCCGGCACGATCTCGTCCGTATAGAGGATCAGCCGCCATGCCGAGCTGGGGCTCGGAGGATTCTTGTCGATGCACGCCCAAAAATATTGGGCGAAGTTGCTGTCGGCATCCGAGATAGCAGCTTGCAGCAGAGCCCAAAAATCGACACTGGGTATCTGCAGCTCTGCACCATCTGTCTGCAAAAGTGACAGGCGATTGAGGATCCTACTCTCTTTCAGGGGTTGCCAGGCAGCCTCGGCTATATGTTTTCTTTGTGTGAGTTCCGGGACACCCTCGTCCCGCAGAACTTTGCAAACTTCGGACAAAGCCGAGGCTGTGAGATGGGGCAATTTCCTTCTCAGAGCATTCACCTTCTGAAGCTTCGCTGGTCTTTCAGCAAAAGCATCGGTGCTGCTGGAGGCCATGGCCCTATATCACCACGGCACCGCACCAACAGCAAATGCCGGAACATCTCCGTGGAGAGTTCCTTCTTCTCCCTGTGCCTGCAGCAGCAAGCAGCCACATACACGCCTCCGTGGAGGCTTCCACACGCCTCCGTGGAGGCTCCCACACGCCTCCGTGGAGGCTTCCACACGCCTCCGTGGAGGCTTCTCGCATCCTTGGATGCTGGGTCTCCATGGCAACAACAAACCAAGCTACAGGACGGGTGACACAACAAATGGCCCCAGGAAGGGGTGCCTGTCTGCGAACACAACTGCACCAAACCTTGTCTGTGCTCGACTCTGGGCATCTGTATGCATGCTGCACGGCTGCTTGGGCCCGGCTTTCCGCTGCTCAGAGAACACATTTCGGCAGGCCCACAAAACCCTCAAAATATGATATGGAAAAAACTATATCATATGAAAACAAAGTCAATCATATGATATAGTAGAAACTATATCATATGAGGCCAAAATATTACATATGATATAGAAAAAACTATATCATATGATATCTGGCCCCACAGACTTAGATGATATAGTAGAAACTATATCATATGGCCAGCGATGCCATCATATGATATAGAATATACTATATCATATGGTTTCCTTTCAATGTATATGATATAGAAAAAACTATATCATATTTTCTACGTTTGGATAAGGTTCCAATCTTAAGGTTAACCGAAAATTATTCTTTAAAAAAAAACCCCTAAACCCTAAACACTAGAAGAGAAAAAAGCGCGGAGACACTCTTTTTTTCACCAGACGGCAGCCGGCACTCTGGTTTTTCGGAAGACGGCAGGCGGCTGTGCCGAGCTAGTACCGCTGCCGAAGCTCCTGGCAGGCGATTTGGAAAAGGCTCGTCACCACTTTCCCGTAGGAGCTCCCAGACCCTCCTTCCGGATCGTCCGGGTCCTTCTTGTCCGGCATTGGGACGTGATCATCGTCCCGTACCGGCGACTCCTGTCGCTTACGCTTGGCCTTAGCCTTGCTGCCCTTAGCCTTGCTGCCCTTCTTCTTGTCCTGGCCGGTCTTGCCAGCCTTAGCTGGCAAACTCCTGGGCAAAAGCTTCACCGGCTTTCGATCCTCTTTGTCATCCTCGGGCTCAATCAGGGAGATTGTCTCTCCTGCCCCCGGCTTTTTTCTCTTCTTCGTGCCCTTAGCCTGCTCAGGACGGCCCTTCTCAGCTTCGGTATGGGCCTTGGCCCCCGAGGGGCCGGAGCCGCCTCTCACATCACCATAGCCATATCCCTGGCCCTTGTCGCCATATCCCTGGCCCTTGTCGCCATATCCATGGCCCTTGTTGCCGGAATCCCGCCGCAGCTCCCACTTTGGGACTTCGGATTCCTCTTCGCTCTCCTCTTCCCTCCCGGGCTGCCAGTGCTCCTGGAACCGGCGCTTTGCCCGGCCTGCAGCAGCCTCCTTGCTGAGCCCTTGGGCTATGTATTTCCAAGTTCGGTGAAACACCGACAATCGGTGCACTTTTTGGACGGGCCCTTGGGCCCGTCCGAAGGCTTGTTGTCCTTGTTCTCATCTGCTGCCTTCTCATTTATTTGCCCCCTTCAATTTTTCATCCACCTCCTTGTCCTTTTTCTCTGATCTCTCTCGTTCGCTTTTCTTTTCATCCTTCTCCTTCTCCTTTTTATCCTTCTTTCCCTTTTTTTTCTCCTTCTTTTCCTTTCTGGCCTGCTCTTCTTCTGCCCAGGACTGGAGAGCTGCCTGGGATGCCGCGACCCTGGCTGTTGCAAGCTTTCTCTCCAGCCTCTGCCTGCCGGCGGCACTTATCGGCCAATCAGAAGCGGTCTTCTCATCCAGAGAAGGGACTCTGGGCTTCGAGGCCGCAGCCTCCGAGGCCGCCTCCTTTGGCTTCGAGGCCGTAGCCTCCTCCGGCTCCTCCTCCGGATCCTTTTCTTTGTCCTCGGACTCAGTTGCCCCCTCGGAGGCCACAGTTTCCTCCTCAAAGTTCTCCTCCTCCTCTTTCTTGTTCTCGTTCTCCTCTGGCTTTTTGTTGCCATCCTCCTCCTTTTTCTTTTGGTCCTCGGACTCTTCGTGAGATCTCGACCGTAGTCGAGGATCTCGTCGTTCTTCTCTATCCTCTGAGCTCGAGCTCCTCCTCCTTCTATCCTGGTCCCGGTGCTTGGGCATGGCCGACGACTTCGCCTGGCCAGGACAAAAAAAGGGTTTATAGAGGATCGGGGAGGGTATAGGGTTTAGGGAAGATCCCTTAAGCCAGACTCTTTTTAGCACATGTATATATATATATATATATACATATAGTATTTGGTGCATGCCGTGGCATGCACCCACGAGGAAACCGTGGTCTCCTCTCCCAAAGCAAAGCAAACCGTGGTCTGCTTGCTTTGCATGCTTGCCAGCAGATGCAAACAAACCTTGGTCTGCCTGCATTCTGCCGGCCAGCACGGTTGCCGAAAAGCAACCCATGCATGCATCACTGACTAAGCAAACCGTAGTCTGCTAGCCGACAGATGGCAAACCGTGGTCCACCACAATTATAAGGAGACCGTAGTCTCCCGGCTTTGTCCAGGAAACCGCAGTCTCCCGGGCTGCCTATAGTTATATATCTATATCTGTATATATGTTTCGTTTGAAAGAAACTTAAAAGGATCCCTTGCCTGGCCTCGTAAAAAAGGCCAGCCCCCATCCAAGGGCTCCCTACAGGAGCCCAAACAG